CCACACTGGCAGCAATCTCTTCTTTTTCTTTTCTTTTTTTTTTTGTAGATTCTACTTAACTTACAATTAACTAATATAAGCCTACCCCATAGAGCAGCGTCATTCTTCAGAAGCTAATAGTCGCTCAACTAGTGAAGATACTTCCTATCTTTCATGGCATTCAAACGTTCACAACTGTTTTCTGAAAAGCCGACGGCATTGAGAAGCTAGTAGTCGCTTAGCTACTCAAGTCCCATACATTTATAGAATCCAAAGGTTTATCACTGGCTTCGCAAGAACCTACGACCTTCAGAAGCTAGTAGTCACTAAGCTAGTCAAGATATTAAGAAACTTTTGAAGAACAAATATTGCATTACTGTCGTGACAAGTGATATCAACCTTGAGGAGACAGCAGTCTGTCAGCTGTAGCATGTGACCTACAAGAAGATTAATTACTTTCATTAAAAGGGCCAGTTACTTGACCTGCTCTGAGTCGAATAAATCCGGTCCACAACATTTAAGACCAATTTTAATAGGGTGGTCTCTCCTTCATCTACGCCGAGGTTTCTCAAGTTGTTTCTTTTCTTAATGTTTTTGACTAAATTTTTGTATTATGGGTATCTTATCTCCCCAATATCTGCTACATTCCCCACCTATTTCATCCTTCTTGATTGGATCATGCTAATAATATTTGGTGAGAATAGAAATCGACTTACTATGCAATTTCCTTCGCCTTATGTTATCTATCTATGGTTCTATAGCCCTTGTGGACCTTGGCCGTCTTTTCAGTTTCTTAATCCTACACTCAGTCGGTAGGACTCCTTGGACGGGGATCAGCACATCTCAAGGCCGCTACGTATTTTTTCTACTGCTAGTGGGGTGGGACTAAGTCCTTTGTACTGCGGCAACTTCTGGCCTATAGTACCAGCCCCAGATGATAGGTGAGGGTGATTGTGGAGCAATTGGTGGAATGAAGATTGGCAGGGGAAACCGAAGTACTCGGAGGAAACCTGCCCCAGCGCCACTTTGTCCACCACAAATCCCACTTGACCAGACCCGGGATCGAACCCGGGCCTCAGCGACTAACCGCTTGAGCTATTGCGCCTTAAGGCGCCTTAAGGCCGCTACTTACACAGGACAAACAGAATAAACGCACACAGACATCCATGCCTTAAGTGGCATTTGAACCTACGATTCCAATGTTCAAGCGGGCGAAGACAGTTCATGCCTTAGACCGCACGGCCACTGTGAGGGGCCGTCCATATCGGTTCTTATGTTATAGGCCTACATAACACCCCAAAATGCAAATGCACTCAGAAGAACTGTTTTCCAGCGCATGCGCCTGAAGCAGGAAACCTCTTTCATACGAAGTACAAACAGTGCTGCCTTCCGGGTTGTATCGCATTGTATTTCGGAAATAGTCCGGTGTTTTGGAGGGATATATCGTCTCCATCGTCAGGGTTGAAGAGTAAGACGTGCAAGAAACCGCCAGAAGCAGGAGGCGAGCCGAGCGACACCATGTTCGCTTCTGCTGGGGCTTTCGCTTCCCGTTTGACTAATGCCTGGGCTGCACTAGCGTTTTTCATTACGGTGACTATGAAGATGGCGGTCTTTTGGGATGTGACACCGCGTACTTCGGAGAGCCCGACATTTAACACCTCCATCTTCAGCTCTCCTGGCGTTTGCATTCTTGCTTGACTTATACTTCAACCCTGAAGATGGAAGCGATATTTTCCTCTAAATGTGGAGCTTTCTACAAACTACGCGGCTCTACAATCCAGAATATCGTATTCCTTCATTGTCATCGCCTTGAGAATAAGTAGAAATGGTGAAGCTATCCATGTAACAGGCCGTGCAGGCCCGCAGCCTTATGAGACGTCGAGGCTCCCACATTTTCTCTAGACACTCGGCTCACATATGACGGGGAGGGTATCGGCTTTACGCCCCGGACGGCCGGCAGCCCTTTGCCCCCAGGAAGATTCCTGATACTAATTTCTGTTAGAGGCTGAGTCAACCCTAGGGCCATAGCGCGACTGGAAGTATTAAGTCAATTGAAGTATCCAATGACCTCATCGGGAATCGACTTCGCGACTTTCCGGCTTGTAGCATAATGCCTCAATGAAATACGCTACCGCGTGCTCCAGAGAGTATCAAATCCAACAAGAAATATACAATATAATTCGCATATATCAAGTGGCTTCCTTGTTACCACTGCGCATACTCAGGTTGCGTATGGAGAACGCCGTCCAGATATGGAGGGTAGCTGCGAATATATATTGAACAAGCAGTCGTGGACAGTCTATGGTCCTCCAGTGTGGGGGTGAGGCTTGAGGCCATCAACTACCCAGTGTGTAACTAAATGTTGCACAGGACCTCGGACATAGATAGATTCTTTGGAACGACATAAGCAACGGAAAGCGGACATAAGGGCTTGGAATGGATTCATCTGGCTTAGGGTAGGGACCAATATATGCCCTTGCGAACACGAAAATGAATCTTCGTGTTCCATAGAAGACGGGGTATATCTTGGATATATGAAGAGGTATTGGCCGTCTCTGTGGTCTAGTGGTCAGAGTTCCTGGCTACAGATCCAGAGGTCCGGGTTCGATTCCTGGCACTACCATATTTTCTGAGAAGTAATGGGTCTGGAACGGGGTCCACTCAGCCTCTTGAGAATAATTGAGGAGCTATTTCAAGGAAATTGCAGCTCCGGTCTAGACAACCGAGATGAACCACTGTGGGGAACCGTTGCGCTGACCACGCGACACCCTCTATCCGCTAAAGTTGCACCAACTTCGCCGACAAGCGGCGGTTGCTCAGTCGGTATAGTTCGCTTGCGGACTAAACCCACGGAGCTTGTTTTTTTTGTTTGTTTGTGAAGAGGTATTAACCTTTCAAGAAAGTCTGAGTTACATGGAGGTACTTACATTGTTATTCTGAAGTTGGAAGAAAGTCTTCACTCCGTCGGGATGTCGATACTGGTATTGAGCATTTCAATCGACATTCAGTAATAGTCACAAGCAAATTATTCACAGTCGGTTACTGGGCTTCGTCCTTGCGTTGAGTTGCATTTTAGGCTTCTCTTTCTATTCCAGAATTTTGGCTCAGAATGCTCGTATTTTCTATGGCTCTAGAGCCTTTTGTTGGGCCCAGGTAGATTTTGCAGTTTCTTGATCCTACATAGAGTCGGTAGGACTCCTTTCGCGGGGGATCAGCCCGTTGCAAGGCCGCTACTTACAAACAGAACATCACAAACACAGAATCAAAGCACACAATACAGACATCTATACCTAGAATGGGATTCGAACACACGATCCCAGCGAGCGAAGACAGTTCATGCCTTAGACCAAGCGGCCACTGTGATCGCCTACAGCCCGTAAATACTAGATTTACTAATTATCTCCTAGCTTCGTTGAATCAGAATACGAATTCCATGGAGAAGGTTTCTTCTTGAATACCTAGCATCTGTTCAGGTGCTCAAGAAATTGCCTCATTTTATTGAATCTACCGAAGTGGTCACTGTACCGACTACGTTTTTGACAGATGCCACATGCTGTCAGACAGGCCTGTATTAAATCTGTAGACGTCGATATTTTTTTAACCTTGTCACTTCAAGGTTATTACTGTCCTGCTATTCACACCGAGGTGTCTCAAAGCGGTCCCTTCTTTTAAATTGAACGATTCCTAGTTCCATGTTAGTAGGTTAGTTAAACGATACTTTTTGGGGGGTTCTGGAGTCTATCGCCTTATAGAGCGGAATAGTATTTTGTGGGTTCTTCCGCCTTTTCTGAGCGCATCCTTTCGAATTTCGACATGAGTACCCATTATTCTGCCTGAAATTTTGGTTGGTTTTTTCATTGTGTCAAGGGCAACTAAGTAGATCAATACTGCCCCCTTTCAAATCAATCACCTACACGCTGTTTATGAATATCTTCTAATTCAAAAGAATCTATGTTAACCTTTCGCAAACGATTCTAATTCCATGTATCTGTGATTATATTTCACATAGAAAACTTTCTTCTGCTTATTTTCTTTCAATGATCAGTTACACGATACGACTTTTTGGCGTGGACGCATTCTCGTCGCCATCTTGAGTGCTGGAAATTATTTCTTGCGCTTTTATCAAATAAAGAGAATTCTGCCTACTAACATGTGTCCTGAGACTGAAAGCGGTGGTAGTGGTGCTGATGAAAAGCAAAAAGAGACGTACGTTTGAGACAAAATTTGATACATTGAAAAGTGAAGTCGATGGTGAATCGTTTGGGATTGTGTATCTGTAATTTCATATTTCGTCGCCAGAATGCAGCACAAAA